TATACTGACAACGCTCTGGCGTGAGGCCGATGGTGTAGCTCGCGCCAAGCTAGGATTAGAATCCAAGGTAGCGCGCGAGACACGGATCTCCTGTCCAAATCCAGCGCAAGCCGTATTCGAGACAGTCCCATGCTAAAGTAATTTTTACACTCTGATAGTAGTTATGATCATTCATAATCAAAAACGGATCAAACGCACAATGCTCGACCGCGATGTCGACTGCGCAGTTTCAACAATCATTGGGTTTGATGGATGAAGGCTAACATTGGACATAGAACTTTTCTCTTGAGGTAAGTGCTGAAACCAAAGTGAAATGTTTGTGCGTTAAAAAGTAAACGGACCATGCTTTGTCGTGAAGTTGACTGCGCTGTTTTCAATAGCATGGGGTTGGATGTTGCGAGATCGCCTGGATCTTCCTCATAAGCTATGTTAAAAGCGCTAGCAGCCTGGAACACGTCACTGCCTATTGCAAAAACCACCAAGGTTTCTAGCTTGCAAATAGGGTTACCGATTGGCGATTATTCGAGTGCTGCGCGCTGCTCAGTTCTAACTCCGAAGCGTATGGTCTATAGGGTCTTATGTAATGAAGGGTAGCTTGAGTTTTCCCCTGCTGAAATGAGAAGATAAAGAGAGCCTCTTCAATGATAATGCCACACCATTTGGTCCTCAGTCAGTTCGCGACAGTTCTGACAGCTGGTAGTAACCTTCTTATCCGATGCTTCGCAAAATGCCTCTGTCGGTACTGCCGTTTTGTATGATAGGTTGCTGGCTGACTGAAAATGCGTAATATCTAGCAAAAATCAAAAGAATTTCATTGACCCTGTGAAGCAATCTTTTGAAGGACGGGCCACAGCGACTGCCGAACAAACGGCCGTAGCCAAGTCTTTTTTCCAGAATTAGCGATGGCTAACGTCACCTCCCTCCAATTCAAAACAGTGTCAGCTCTGCCCCCTCCCCCTCCCTCCCCACTCCTCAAAAAAAATTTTTGGACCGCCATTGCTAGCCTGGGGAACGATTGCCAAGAGCGACCTGATTCATAGCAGCATCGGACTTGTGAAGAGTAGATGCTGATTTGACCTCATCAGTTTCATATCCATCCACAATGTTATTGTTCTGAAAAGGACATCTAAGGGTAATACAAGTCCATCGAATGTCTTTACCATTTCCACCATTTCGACAATCTCGCTGACACGATCCGGTGACGTGATCCGCTCCGATGCCGTCACATAATCAGGACTCGTCTGAATAGTGAATGCTCAGGTGAACATTTATAGGCAGAACATCTTGACAATCGTTCAGATAGTACACAGGTTCTGTTTCACGTCAGCACTAGATTTTTTATCAGTCCATGCACAAATTCTGAGCACAAAATGTGAAGGGTTTTTTGCGCGAATTTCATGCTTTCCAAGTTTCTTTTTCTCAAAGCCTGAAACACCTAAATGCAACCAAAGCGACTATTGGCTGACTGGGCACTTTCGCCATGTGAGCTTTATTCAAAAACTCTTTATGAAAACTTCAGCGTTGTTACAATCAATGTAGCACGATATTGAACACACCAGAAAGTTCCGTCAGTTGCAGTGGCACGAGATTTTGAGATGACTTCACATGATAGAAAAATTAAATTTGCATGAATTTGAAATTGACGCTTGCATTGACGCTGTAGATCAGCAAAAACTTTGCTCCGTTTTATCAGTCTAAATTTAGTTTATAAGATTTGATTATTACTGCTAGCGGTTCCAAAAATAAGATAAGCGGAGTAGAAGTGAGAAGAGAAGCAACTGAGAAGCAGCTGCACATGTAATTTGAGAAAGAGCTTGATTTCAAAAAATGGTAAAAGTACTGCGAAAAAAGAGATGAACAAACCGTAGTCGATCCAGTGCAAGTGCGTATGTTCTGGAGAGATGTGATCGTCTGTTGCTCCAACCATTGTTCTCCCTAAATAAACAAATACAGCTCGTTCGAAATTGGCAAAAGAGGGGTACCTCTGCGGCATCCTCATAATCATCGTCCTCTTCTCGTAAGTCATTGTCACATATTCCATCATTCACGGATTTGACGGACTAAAATGATCTAGATTTACTCGTCCAAAAGGCATCTTGCATTAACAGATGAGAAAATACCTGTCTACTGACAGATCTCGGCACATTTTCAGTCCATTCACTACCGCCACCCAAGAAGTCTGTCGATTGCATACTCTGAAAATTTCGATTGAGTTTTCAAAAACAGCCCAATGATGTGGTTATAAAAGAAGCTGAGCACTAAAATAGCATTACAGTTGAACAGCAAAATAGCGAAATGAAAACGAAAAAACTCTATGAACATGAAAATTACATTCAGAGAAAACTACCAAATGTAGCTTCCTTGCCCTAACAGAATCCCATGATTTGTGAACAAGGAATCAACTCTAAACTAAACTCCAGCTCAAACTTTCAAGCGAACCGCGCCATGAGTAAGGTAGAAAGCACGATTAGGCAGAAGTCGGAGATGAACATCCCGGCAACGAAAAGTCATACGAAGGGTCAGTGGGAAGGGCATATTTAGAGC